CTATTATCAGTCTAAAACTTTTTATGATTGATCAGACCTGATCCATACAGTTGGGTAAAAGATAGAGCTTAAAGTTACAAGTCGATAAATGTCGACATAATTTTCTCAGGAACTTCGGATTCAGAGGAATCTGAATTTTATTTTATGTTGGCATGATATCATAAAATTATTATTGGAAAATAGTAAACAAATATTTCTTTATATAAAACATTTTATTTTAAAATTTATATTTTTTAAAAAAACACTAGACTTATTAACATATTTCTGATTTTATCATTTTGGATTTAATTCAATTTTCTTTTTATTTTAATGAAATCTGTTCCATCGATTTTATTCAGTCCAATGACCTTAAACATTTTAAAGTATTAAAATCAAATATCATTATTATAATATACGCCCTAGAAGTATAACTCGTACTTTACCGAGTTGCCTAACTTTTAAATAGATAGTATCCCCTTATCAGCTACATAGGTGCTCCACACTATAGCCAACCATATTTTAAGAAAATGTCTCTTAAATGTCTGTGATATACTGTAGTTACTTTGTAAACATCTAAAATCTATTAAAATTATTTTGGTAAATACAGAATTCAAGACCTAGGTAGTAGCAGGGCTGTGCGCCAAAATTTTCGTGTGGCGCGCCAAACGTCAATTTTTTAACTTTTTAAAACACGCCAACGATAAAACGCCAAAATCGGCTAAAAATGGACGCCAAAACGTCATAGCGCATATCCCACGTAGTAACAGTATGTGTGGATTTTTGATAGATTTTTGATATTTTTAATAATTTTCTTACTTGAATATACTCAATCATATCAATCTTATAACCATCTGAACAAACATATTTTATATTGTTTTGTATAATATCGTTTTCTGTTTCAACAAGTGGTTTGATTTCATCTGTGTCTGGGAAATTAATGCTAATCCGAATTCTTTCTCCACCATTTAGATTGACAGAATTGCTTGCATTATTTTTAGAACAACCAAATATACAAATTCCCGTTACAATATTTGGATTCCAGTTACCATTCTATATTTAATTTAATTAAATATGTTAACATAGGGGTTCCCAAGATTTTTATATTAGTTGTACTTAAGTACATATTCGCTAGAGGCGTCAAAGTCTTTTAGTCTTGAGTCTTGACTCAAGACCTTACATGGGTTTTTTGGTTCTGGTTTTGGGGTCTAGTCTTGGAAGATTTTCGGTTTTTATCAAGTGAATGTTATGGTAAATTTTGCCTATTTCTACCACATCTGGGCTTTGACATTATACGCATATTTTTGGAAACCCTAGTTATAATTTTAACTTGAAATACTAACCACGAATGCATTGCTCACTGAATAATCACTTGTTAGATTTAAATAGTAAATCATTTCTCCAACTGAAAAAAGGCAATTTAATAATTAAAATATGCTTAATACAAACATTCCTGGTTGCTTTCCAAAGCCCTGTGAATTAAATTAACTGTGATACTTCCATTGAAAGGATTTGGAACTGTTCCTTTAATAATGATTTGATCTCCTTTTACAAACTTCTTGTCCGTTCTAATCATATTTTCAGGCAATTTATATTCTTTAACTTTTATGCACTTTTCAGAGGTAGATTCCAGAAAGTTAACGTCTTGAATATTTCCAGTGACCTATAAATTATTTCGTATCTTTCTATAAGACCATGCTCGGTCCGAAAATTGCTAAAGTAAGAAGGAAAAAATCGTGAGAAGGGAGTCAAACCCGACTAAATACACGAATGAAAGTGTCTTGTATAAAATACTCCATGTGTATACCCCCACCCCCTACTGATAGAGCACTTTCAGGTACTCGGTTCTCACTATAGAGATTCTACATAAGCAATACACAATTTAGTATAGTATACAATTTTTGAAACAGAGATGTTGTTATAGAATGAGCTAGTCAAATTGACCTACCATGGCATAATTTATAGCCCATGGAGGAATTCGATAGTTGTAGTGGATGAAATCCGTAGCTTTATTAATGCTTATATCGAAGTAATTGTCGTTAGCAATTATTTGAATGGTCACAGGCACATCGGTATGTCCAATTGGGTTTTTGTGAGTTTGATTGATCCCCCAACCTTCTTTATGGGCACTCTCATTCTTCCAACATCCAATAAGGACAGAACTGTCATTCTTTTTAGAACTTTCGTTCTTTCCCGAACATTCTTGATGTATATGACTGTTGATGTTCAAAATTGAATTCTTCCCTTCAATAAAAGTAATATTCTCCCCAAGTTCTGTGTAATGATCTGGATCAAACACAAAATTTAGCATCAAAGCTGTGTCACCATCTTTAAAAGAACAGATTCATTTTTAAATTATTATGGCTATTTCATACTGTAGAACCGATACACCTAATAATAGATATATAGAGTGATGTTTGGGAGAAGAAAAAACTCAGGAAAAGGGAGTCGGTTCGGGAAATGACGTCGGGATCGGGAGGCCAAAAACTCGGGAAATTTTCCCGAGTCGGGATCGGGATACCCGAACATCACTAATACATAAGTAATCCCCTCTACATGGATAATCCCCTTTACATAGGTAATTAATAAATAATCTCTCACATATTTCACTAAAGTCATTTTCATCATTGAGAAGGTATAATTGAAAACTTTTTTCACCAATCATATCCCTTGATTTTGGAACTTTTCCTTCAAAACAGACAATATTTCCAAATTTTTTCAGATCAGGCAAATACTTTTTAAATTTTTTATTTGGCATTTGTAATTCTTCTTCAGTTACTTTATAGTCAAAAAGTTCAAAATCTTTGAGTATCTTAATTATAATATTTAATAGAGGGCTTTTAGAGGAATAACGGGGACCTTCAAATCCTCCCCAGTCCCAGTTAATCCCCGAAATCCATCTATCTTCCCAATTTCATCGGTAACCCCACACCCCCCCCCCCCCCCATCAAACTCCAAATCCCCTATATAACTCTTAATCCCACGATATCCTTGAGATACCTGATAGCAACCCAATCTACTGATATCCTTTTAATTCTGCCAAATCCGCCGATTTCCTCCTTAATCTTCCTAATCCTCGATAAATTTTAATCCCCACACAAAAGAAATAAAAAATTTTTGCAGCGTTAGGTTGTGTAGGGGGTAGGATTTACGGATTTGTCTACTAACCGATTGTCCGAACACGTGGGCCTCGGCCTTTGGCCCTAACTCGAGTCCTCGGGTTCACTGGCCTTATGTTTACTTGCCCTACTTGGATAAGATAGATAAGATGGACCTTACAATAAAATTCACCTTAATTTGGTCAATCTTCCAAGTTGGCACTGATGATGTTATTGTATTATTCGGATATTTTTCTCCGTTAATTTCAAATTCATATTTTGTCATAATGCCAGTTTTGTTAGCGATAATGTTTAATTCAAAAGCTTTTGTCTTTTTAAATTGAAAAAATGTAGATACTGTTTTTCTTTTTTCTCTAGTCTAAATTTGTATTATTGTTAATATGAAAAAAAGTTGAACCCGACTTTTTTCCCAAAGTTACTTTCAAATTTCTGTCAATTATTTTCCTCAAGTAATATGTACCAGGGGTGGCGCTCGTCTCGTATCTCGTATTTTGCCACGAAACACGAGATATTTTCAATCTATTTTAGAAAAAATGTCAACCCGTTGGCTTTCCGAAATTCTCAAAATTTTCGCCTGCGGCGCTTGAAAAGAAGAAAAGGTGTTATTATTGATATCGGAGGATTAACTCAAATTCCCTCGATATTCCTATTAATCACCATCAGTGGATTTAAGTGAAAAGTTGGATTTGAAGAGGAAATCAGAGGATTAAGGTGGATAACATTATATTTGGAAGGTCTTCTCTTGGCTCCTGAGATACTCCCTCGATATCCCTTTTAATTTTTCATGAACTTTAGCCTCCGAATACCCGAATCCCATATATCCTCCAAATCCACTAATATGCCCTAATCCACGTATATCCACCAAATGCCTGACTATATTAATCTTTCAAAGCATACTCATCAGGGGTACGTTAGTCTCGTATCTCGTGTCTCGTGCTCGTTTTTGAGAGATCTCGTATCTCATTTTATCTCGTTCTCGTATTTTTTGCCAATTGCGCCACCCCTGATATGTACATATTTATTACAGGGCTGAGCGTCATGGCGTTTGGTGTTCCAGGAAAGAATTTTGTCGCACAGCCCTGATGTATATCTAAAAAGTAAGTGGTCAAGTTTGACCATCAAGTACATCTTATAAAGGGAAGAATAATTCTAAAACTCAAAAAAGAGGGAGGCGGGATATCCATAAAATCCAAATACTCACAATGCCATCTTTAGTTAGTATTCCTGTAGCCACCGTACTCCAATCCAATACAATTTTACTATTAGAAAGTAATCGAATCTCTGCCAGTTCCCCTTTATATTTGCAATAAAATTTAAATGTAACATTTTCATTATAAATTGTTGGAAGGTCAAATACTTGTCCTTTATCAACAACATGTTTGTATGCTGTAGACAACTAAAACGCAAAGATTTTTAGCTAAACTCTCCTGTAGCAAGACTCAAGGGCTCTCAACTAAGCTCTCAAAAAACCTTTATCAAATACCACTATCAATATAAATTCAAAGAGCATTACAGGAAATATGAGGAGAGTCAAACGTTGATACCGTAACCTGAGCAACCCTGTAACCTCAACCTCTATGCTGAGCTATCGGTGTCAAAACACCGTTAAAAACATCTTGCCGCGTCGAAACTGGTTAATATTCTCATTTAGGTCTAACCACGTTTTCTTGATTCTCCACCCTCGAGTAATTCTCCACCCTCGAGTAATCCCCCATCCCCAAATGCCTTACTGTGAGTTGAAATTTTTCAAGACTCGAATAATTTCGTGTCCCTATAATATTTCAACTAGGGTTGTTCACTACCGGTTATTAACCTGGTCCCCCGGTTTTCGGTTCCGGTTCGGTTAACCAACCCTAATTTCAACCATGGATAGGTTGAATATTAATTCCTAACAAATAAGGGAAATTAATCGAGAAAGTACGATAAAATATTTCTTACATTTTTTATATCATCATAAGTTAGCGTTCGAGTGATGACTGGAGTAACCGTAACAAAATCTCCAAAAATTTTCAATGAGTTGCTTCCCTTTGCCTTGAATAATCCTCCTTTCCACCATTTATCTGACCAATATTTGAAAACTAAATGCTCAGATCCCCGCTGATTACTTGAAAACATGGACCAAACATAATACTTTGTAAGGCGAAGAGTTGCGGTAAACGATGCTCCAATTCCGAGTAAATTCACCGGTTGTCGGATTGCTCTTACAAGTTTACCCTAAAATAAGTTCGATATAACAACTCAAATCCCCCTTAATCCTGCTTAATTCCCCGATATTGCCCCTAATCCACCTAAATCACACGATAATCCTCCCAAATCCTGCTTAATCCATTGATACCCCCTTAATCCTCTGATATCACTCGATATACTCCTTTGTCTACCCAAATCCCCCAATGAAATATATTCATTAATTTTCCTCCCGGAGCCCGGAGCCATCATGGAGCGTCTCCGAAAATCGCCGGCTCCGGAGCCGGAGCTAAGATTTTAAAACCCCCGACCTTATATTCCATTATCATTCGTATCCGGATACTCCCTTAATCCTCCGATATCCTTCCAACCATTTATATAACAAAATAAATACGGTACTCGTTGCTATTTAGTGCAAGATCAATTTGTAGGGGTTATGGGTTCAACTAAAATTTTTAATTTTGCGTTCCTTGCGTTGCGTTTTTTAAAATGTCTTTTACGCCCGCCCCTGTTCCCGGGCATAATTACCTTAAAAGTGTGAGTAATCATTGTCTCACTTGTATATAATTTAATAATACTCTCCCCTCCATTAAACACTTCAACAGTTGCATCCTTTCCATTTGTCCCAGTCCACAGTGTAAATTGAATTAATAACTCCCCATCTGTAATGTTTCCCAGAGGGTAGGTTGTTTTGGGGGTGTGCCTGATTTTGCAGTCTTTATCGTAGTAAATTTTCCCCCAGTCAATTCCTTTATAACCTTTCGGCTTTCTGTATATAATTTCTGGCACTAACGATGGAGGAGTTGTTGGCATTTTGAACTGAATTTTTATTAGAATTAGATATACGGCCTGATACCATTTTAGATACCCCTCGAAGCTTACAATGCCGTACCTTATAAGATGTGTATAGGGGATATCCCTTTAATCGTTCAAATCCTCAATATCCCTCAAACCCACCTCCCCCCCCCCCCTTCATCCCTCAAACCCACCTCCCCCCCCCCCATCACAAATTTGATATCCACTAAATCCGTATTAATCCATCCAACCCCATCTTAAATCCACCAACCCCCTTAATCACCCCAAATCCTCTTAATCCACCCAGATTCTCAGCTATCCCCTTTAATCCACCCGAATCCCCTTAATCAGACCAAATCCCATCCCACATATCCAAATCCCACACCAACACCCAGCAGACGCAGGTACCAAGCTATCTTTAAAACCCACCCACGCCTCCATTCCACAGGCACAGCCCTTATATACAAACAAATTTAAAGTTCGTTGCCCAGTTGTTGGCAACATATCCAATCCCAGAGTCCAAATCCCCGTGTAATTGTGCAAGTATGCCCCGATGTTCACATGTTCGTAAAATTTTTCACTAAGCTTCCTTCCATCGCCCATTCTAATTATATCTCCAGGCACAAGTTTTTCTTTACCATTTTTGACTTCTTTGGACATTTCGCGAACACGTGTAGCGAAATGGTCCTTAGCTCCAAGTTCAATTGCGAAGAGCGATGTTTTGTTCAGGACATATCTAAAAATTTTAAACTAGGATAGCAACCCGACCCCGGACGAATTTTTTGACAATAACCCGCGACCCGAACCTCGAAGGCTCTAGCCCGACAGGCCCCGAACCCCGACACCGAATGGTTTGGTTGCTACCCTCTTAAACGATTATGGTTAGAACAATCAGGGGACTATTCCGCAATTCTTGATCTCATAGAATAACCGATATCCCTCCTTAAACCCTAGATATCATCTCTCTTGATTTCCCTAATCCCTATATTAAATATTCATTGAATTTCAACCCGGAGCCCGGAACCAACATGGAGCAGATCTGAAAATAGCCAGCTCCGGGGCTGGAGTCGGAACCAGGATTTTAAAACGTCCGGAGCCAACAAATGCCAAATACTGTTCTGTATTGATATTTAACAAGGGGCACATGGGAAAGTTACAACCCCCCTCTCCGATAACCCCTCGGACTTATCTTAGTAGGGAAATTTACTCTTCTAGGGAATGCCTCACAGACTATTAATAAAAAATCTCCAACGTTCTCTTTGTGAAAGACAATTTAATTGTCGTCGTGAAGATTGATTCATTAAAGCCAGCCGGTTTTTCATATTTCGAACTGAGCATAATTCCGTGCCAGATATAGAAGGGAGAGTCAGTAACACGACAAGCACCATCTATTTTGCAATATTCTTGGCGCTTTTCTGCACATAATTGGCTTATCGGATTTGCCTGGAATTTGAATAGCGTTTTAATCACAATCAGAAATCATAAGTAGCAGGGGTGTCGCTCGTCTGTGTCCCGTGAAATCTCGTGTCTCGTATTTTGTGGCACGAGCGACAACCCCGAAAAAAATCGGTTCTTTGGTTCTATTCGATACAGAACCGTATGGACCTGTGCGCAAGGATATTTTGCGTTGCGCACATAACGCCATTTTTAAATTTAAAAATAACGCCAAGACGATCACCAAATTAAAAATTCACCTCATGTTTCGACATACGGTATGGAATTGAGGTTATCAATCCATTTAATGTGTTGTTTCCGCTTAATTGGCCAGGGTAGCAAATTAAGAGCCTTGAAAAAATTTTTTTGAAATTTTTGGAATTTTTTAAAATTCTCTGAAAATTTCTATCAACATACATATCGCACAACATATTTCCTGGCCTTTCAAAAATAAATCCATAACTGCCTTGATGTTTTTGTCCGGGGCGAAGCATACACTGATCATATGCCAGATAGGGGATCATGTGGCGTGTGTTTACCATATCCGTCAGGTACGCACTAAAAAATTTTAGAAGCTCGAAAATCTATTATATTTGTTTATATTAAAATTTAGAGTAGCTAAAAAGCAAAAATAAATTAGTTATCGACAACCGGGCTCGAACCTAAGACCTCAAATTTGTTACACAACCCACTTAACCAAAGTAACCAACTTTATCAAAAGTGTTTTGCTGGGTGTTTCCAATGGGCCCAAGGTTAAAATTTATGTTTGAACCCCCGACATGTCTAACCTCTTGCCCTAACGATTTTTTCGAACCCCGAGCCCATAAAGACACTAAACTTTCCGACACCGATGGGTCGGGGTTGTGCGCCAAAATTTTTTTAATCAGGGATGTGCGCTAACATTTTCTCGTGCCGCGCCAAATTTTTCAATATTTTTCAAATTCTTAAAACACGGCAAACGTCAGAACGCCAAAATTGGACAAAAACGACGCCAAACCGTAGATTCGTAACTTTTCGAACCCCCATAGGTAGGGGACGTGCGCCAAAACATTCCTAGTTTCCGTCCTTGTTTCCGACGGGTTCCCAGGTTTAAAATTAGAGGTAGTTAGCCGCGACTTCGTCTAATTCTGTCCCGAAGGATCTTGTAAAACCCTGGGCTCGAACTTTTCAACACCGACGAGTCAAGGATTACAGTAGTTCTATTTTAAGCTTTAATAAATTGTATTTAATTTACTAATTTTTCTCATCATTATGATATTGGTATTGTATATCTCCAGCAACTTTATTTTCAAAACATTCAAAAATAAAAATTAGAAAAATTTCAATATAAAGAATAACTTCTTTCTTTAACATTTGTAAAAAAATTTTTTCTGAAATTTAAAAAAAAATAGTTGAACCTCTACATAAAATACATCCAACATTAGGTACCCTCTATTTTAAGGATGATTCGCCGAGCAGCATTTAAAACGCTTAAGCCATCCAAAACTATCTAAAAAGGATAAGGAGAAAGCATTTGTGGCGCAGTAGCCTCGGTGGCTCAGCGGTACCCGCCTTTGTGTGAGCAAAGCCGAGCGAGCACTGTCAGCATCGTGCAGGGTCGCAATCCTGCCCGGTGGCTAATCTTTTGCTAAACTCTTTCCCTATTTATGATACACCCCTAAACTTGTATCTCTCTAAAAATGGTGTCCCTTATAGTGAGCTTCATTAAAAAAATTTTTTTTAATTAGAGAATCAACTCCCAATATTTATTTTAAAAAATAAAATGATTGGACGATTAAAGCGTTATAGCACTTTATAAAACTAAATGATTAAAAAACTTATTTAAAAAAATGACTGTTTTGGGAAAATAAATTTTTTCATATTTAATAAATTAAATATTTACATATTTTTTACAAAATATTTAATTAAAAATGATTCACCCAATTATTTTTTTAATAAATATTAAAAAAATTAATTTTACTTTTTTTAATTAATCATCAAAAAATTAAATTAAAAAAATATTTTTACAGGCAGATAAAAATAGGAATGAAAATCCGAAGGTCTTTATAGTACTATTGACAAGCAGAGGTTAGGCAGAAATCCTGAAGGGGGAGCAAGTATCGGAAAGTTTAATTGGAAATTAAGGGTTCTTGTGTAGTTTACCCCCCATAAGCCCCTGTCCTTTTATAAAATGGAAAAGAATAAAAAGGAGCGGAGATGTCCTTGATTGGTAGCAATGGCACGTCCAAGGGGTTATACTTTTGACCTCCACTCCACTCCCATCCCTTCAAAAATAGGGAGAAAATGGTAAAATTTTGGAATTAGTAACCTAAAAGGATGGTCACATGTTTCCGATAACCTCTAATCCGTACAATGTTAAGGAACCCAAAGTAGCCATTAATCCCCAATATTAATGTGAAGTATGAGGGGGAAGGAGGGTCGAACGTCAATAAAACTGCCTCTTATAAGCCCAACCTCTTACAAAGTCAAAAAAATATAAACCTCCTCACATCCAAAATTAAAATTTTAAATCCCTTCCAAATTCTTTCAAAATTATTTCAAATATTTTTCATTGACTTCCAGTAACCCCAACATTCGTCGCATTTTGCTGGTGACGACTCTTCTCCAGTTCGGCCATACACTCCCGGACCATTAAACGGGCTTGAACAATTCCACGTTTTAAACGTTCCTGACAGTTACGATTTCCATTGTAGGTTGGGCCTGAAGAAAAAAATTTTTTTAATTTTTTAAATTTTTAGGGTAAACAGAAAAGTCCGCAAGTTTTGTCCGCAAATTAATATGGAGTGAAGGAACCCTAAATTGGTGAAATAAAATTTTAAAAAAATCGAAAACGAGTAGGATTAGGCTTCAGAACCTATTTTTGAGCTTCTAAATATTTTTGCAGATTTAAACAAAAATAGGGACACGAGTGGACTCGAACCTTGCCCATATTCCTCGGGTTTGTCTAACAGTAAATTGGTGAAATAAAATTCAGAAAAAATTGGAAACCAGTAGGATTGGGTTTTGAAACTATTTTTGGGCTTTTAAATATTTTTAGGAACTGTCAAAAAATATAGGGACTCGAGCGGACTCGAACCTTGCCCATTTTTTAAAAATAGACTAACACAGTTACCACTTAACCAAAAACTAAAAAATTCAGTGGAAAATAATCCCTAAACGTAATTTGAGGCTTTAGTCATTTTTTGGACCTATTTAAAAATAAGGGGACTCGAACGGATTCGAACCTTGCCCATTTTTATAGAATAATTCAAACACGGTACCACTTAACCAAACAAAATTTTTGGGGGAAGCAAAGCACAACAGTGAGAACGTTGATTTAACTCTACTCCCCTCTCCGAGACTTACTCAAAAATTCCCAAAATTTAAATAAACAAACGAATATCTTTTCCAAGTTCATCAATCATAGCAACTAATTGTTGATAACGTGATCCTTGGGAAGCAGCTGTCCCAGCCGGCAAGTTTTGCGTATTTACTTGATATTGAGGTAATTGATTGGTGTTGACGTTTTGCTGTTGCTGGGAACCTAGAATTTTAAATAATTTTCTAAATTAGTCGAACCTTGTTATAAGATACACCCTTGTGGTTGAAAAAACTTGTCCCATAATAAGGCATCAAATTTCCAGAAACGTCTCTTATACAGAAGTGTATCTAGTATAGGGGCTAGCTATCTTATACAGTCGAACCCTCCCCCTCATAAAATGCCACCGTCCAAAACTAGATTTGTACATTGCTAAGAGACAAACTTCAAAATCTTGCTGGCCATTGGGTATGGCAGACTACCCAATCGATACCCTCCACTTAACGTACATCTCATTATAAGGCCCGATCTTAACAGAAAGGGCCGTATCCCACAAATAGGTCCCACCCAAAAATCAAGCAGAAAAACCTGAAGCAGACATTGTTCCACTATTATTTCCACCACTACAATTCCCTCCCTGCCCCGACATTTCCACTTCTTGTTTAATATTTAAATCAATTTGTTGTTTATTCATTAATAAATTTTCTTCTTCTTCTTTCCCTTCCTTTTCAGACAATTTTATTAATGATGTGGCAATTTTAGTAGAGTTTAAAAAAATTTTTTGGGCTTTTTCTTCTTCCTCCCCTAACCCTTCGCCTTCCTCTACCTTTGCACTTAGAACATTTTTATTAATATTATTTTCATCCCCTTCCCCTTCCCCTTCCTCCCCAACGCTTTTTGTAGTTGTTCTTGTTAACGATGACGACGCCAATAATGGCTGCTCCTCCTTGCCGTCATGCTCTTCGACCACCAACTTAAAGTCATAGTTATCCTCCACCATTTCTTCTTCCTCCTCCTCGCATTCCATCCTTTCTTGCTTTCCTTCGTCTTCTTTAACCATTTTTTTTTCTCAAATTTTAAGTAAATATATTTTTTTATTTTTATTCGCGTGCGTGGAAAAGGATTGAAATACACACACAATCAATTTTCAATCAATAAACTTTTTAAAAAGCTTTGAGGGGCGTCCGGCCGAGTCACACTTTTTACTTTTTCATGAAAATCCACTCTAAAAATAAAATTGGGATGAAATGTCATTTTCTTAAAAAATTTAGACAGAATGCCAAAATGGCGATTTTTTGAATTTTTTCCAATTTTTGCAGTTTTCCCGTCTCTTATTGATAAAATTAAATTTCTTATCATTCCAGACGATAGACTATCTAATTTATTTTTATCAGTTTTGTGTATAAAACGACAAATTTATTTTATTCCATTTATTTTCTTTGGTCATTCAGTTGTTGCTATTTTTGTAAAATTTCTTGAGGAAGTTTAATGTCTTCGAAACCGGTAAATTTTTTTATTCTAAAAATTTTTAGAACGTTTAAAATTTATTAAGAACCCTAGGTAAATAAATTTTCCCAAGATTTGGTTTATTTCCCCGCGAAAAAGATTTTTGGTTAAGTGGGACTGTGTTAGCCTATTTTCAGAAATATGGGCAAGGTTCGAACCCGCTCGGGTCCCTTTATTTTTTAAATTATTTTAAAAATGCCTAGAAGCCCAAAACTCACTATAAGGCTTATTCTCCTCATAAATTTTTTGGTTAAGTGGGAACGTGTTAGGCTACCTTCCAAAAACGGGCAAGGTTCGAGTCGCTCGGGTCCCCTTTACTTTTTTAACCCTTTTCAAATTTAAAATTAAATAAATTTCTCCTTTATCCATTCAAATTCAACCCTTATTATTTTTAGATTCACAAATTTCACGTCGAAATGACTTGTTCTGGCTGTTCAAATCAAGTTCAGCGTGTACTTGGCAAACTTGGGGGTATTCCAAAATTTTTTACAACCCCCAAAAAATTTTTTGAATTTTTAGACAAAGTTTCCAATGTCCAAATCGATTTGCCTTCAAAATCGGTTCAATTGGAAAGTGAAGAATTAACTTCGGAACAATTATTGGAGATTTTAAAGAAAACTGGGAAGGAAGTTAGATTGATGTAAAAATGTTTAATGATTTTTAAAAATATTTTTTTGTATTTAAATATATAATTTAACTTGTATGTATGTTTAAAAATTGAAATTGTTCAATTAAATAAAAAAAATTTTTCGACTTTTGGGTGTCTCAAAATAAGTCAAACTTAGCTATACGATATACCCTTAAGGGTTAAAAATTTATGCCTTATAATGAGGTATCTTAAATAGAGAGTATCTCTAAAGGTAAGGCAATACTCTCCTCGACATAGCAGCCAGCCAAATTTTAAAAAACGTCCTATTTAAGCGACGTTTCTTAAAATTTGAGGGTAGGAAAGATGCCCAAGCCAGCCTTCTATTTAAAACACCCTCATTATTAGGTGCGATTTCCCACTCCCTAAGAGGGTATCTTATAGCGAGGTCTAACTAATAATTAACAACCTTCAAATTTATTCTAATTTTAAATTTTGTATCGCATCCCCAGATAAGAGCCTTTGCGTCGCTTTAAGGCCAAAAATATTTTCTAGTCGAAGTATATCAAAACGGCAATAGAGCATTAATGAATTAACGTGTTTTATGGAATTTTGTTGTTGTTGTTGAGAGGATTTTTGCTGAAATTAAAAAATATTTTTAAGAGGTTGTTAGGCCCCTAGAATTTAAAAAAAATATTTTAAAAATTTCTTAAATTTAATTTCCTTACCATAGGACTCATTTCCCCTCAAAAAATTTTTTGTGGTTAAGTGGGACCGTGTTAGTCTAATTAAAAAAATGGGCACGGTTCGGACCCGGTCGTGGACCTTTATTTTTTTTAAAGCTGTAAAAATGTTTAAAAGCTCAAAAACTCATATAAGATTTATCCTTCCTTAAAAAATTTTTGGTTAAGTGGAAACGTGTTAGCCTACCCTCAAATAATGGGCAAGGTTCGAGTCCGCTTGGGTCCCTATATTTTTTGAAAATTCCTAAAAATGTTTAAGAGCCCAAAAATAGTCCCTAAAGACAAAGTTAATTGTTTTTTAATTTTATTTTTACCAATTTATTATTTTCTTGATTATCAAAATTCTTCTTTTGCAAAGTTGCCGACATTTGTAAAAATTCAGGATAAAATTCAGGATTAATTGGAGGCTGGTAGAACAATAAAGAACGAATTCCTTTAATTTGGTAACGAAAGAAGAAGTGTAATCTAAAAATAATTTTGAAAATTATTTTAAATTAAAAATTATTTTTTAGTCTGTTCCCCAAAGTCAAGGGATGACATTTTGTCCCAACATTATTATTTTCTTAAAAGTTATCCAAAAATTCTAAAAATTAGGGTGTCTAGCTTACACTATAAATTATTCCTACACAAAATTTCATAGTTCTAGCAACTCTTAAAGTAAAGTTACAAGTCCTTGAATTACCTAGAGATGACATTTTGTCCCAACATTATTTTCTTAAAAGTCATCCAAAAATTCTAAAAATTAGGGTGTCTAGCTAACCCCATAAACTATTTCTACACAAAATTTCATAGCTCTAGCTATCCTTATCGCAAAGTTACAAGTCCTCATATTACCTAGAGATGACATTTTGTCCCAATTGTATAAAATTGTCTAAAAATATCCAAAAATTTTGAAATTTATGGAGTGACTAGCTAACCCCATAAACTATTCCTACACAAAATTTCATAGCTCTAACTAATCTTATTGAAAAGTTACAAGCCCTCAAAATTACCCAGACCTACCCCCTATCAACCACATCCCTCCTTAATTTTAAATTTTATTTTTTAAAATTAAAATTTAAAAAATTATTCCTAATAAAAATCCCTCACAAACCTTTCAGTAAATAACATCAATTTTCTTTCTCCTTTGAAAAATAATAGTCTAGCTTTAGCTATTTTTCCCTGTTCTGCATATTCATGTAGTTGAACAAATGTTTCATTATTTCGTTTTTTCAAAAAGTTTCGAATACGAACAAAATCAAAATAGGAGGGAATAAATATTAGAGTGCCTGTTTCACCTAAAAAATGAAAAAAAATTTTAATAAAAAATTTTGGAAAAATTTTAGTTTGTCCGCACAAAATTTGCGGACAAAATTTTTCCGCAAAAACTGTCCGCAAAAATCTGTCCACAAAAATTTGTCCGCAAATTATGTCCGCAGAAATCTTTCCCAACAATTTGTCAGAAAAATTTTATCCGCAAAAAATTTATGTCCGCAAATTTTTGTCCGCAAAAATTTCCAAAAAAAAAATACATTTTGGAAGTATTTGTTCAACAAAATATTTGAAGCGTTCATTTGCCTGTTCGGTCGGGGAAATTGCCTCAAACCGATGAAAATATTGAATACTTGGATAGAAAAACTTAAAATTTAAATTTAAAAATTTTTTAATTAATTTAAAATTAAACTTTTTTAATTGGAAGAGGTTCTGAAAGGTTTTGTTTTATTGTAGCTATACCGGCAAAATTAGAACAATGTTGGGCAAATCTAGAAAAAATTAAAAAAAATTAATTTAAAAAGGGAAGTAGTTGAGGACATAGGTCAAATTTGAGGCAAAAAATCCGCAAATATTTGCGGATTTTTCTTACAAATAGAGTTGTCGGTTATTGAAAAAATTCAGATATCCAGAACATAATCAGGAGGTCTATCCACCATGATTACCGAAAATCAAGAGTTATTGACGTTTTCTGCATCTCGATTCTACGCTTCGTTTTGTATAAGATGGGTCAGTTCTCTCGAAATCCTGACAAATTTTTTTTAATTTTCGACCCAAACCAGGAAAAAATCCGAAGAAAATTTTGAAAACCCAGACCCAAATCAACCTGATTTTCTCAACCTGACCAAGGGCGTAGCCAAGGGGGGGGGCTTCTGGGGCTAAAGCCCCCCCCCCCCCCCCCGAAATGGGAGAAAGGGGAGAAAAATTAGGAGACGAATTAGCAAAAAAGTGAATTTTTTTGGCCTACGGCCTTCTAAATTTTAAAAATTTTCGCCTGCGGCGCTGAAAAAAATAAAAATATGGTTCAAAAAATTTGCGTCCAGAACGCCAAGGTAAACGCCAAAAATTTTGCGCACACCCAGTGTTAGCCCCCCCGAAATCGACCCTCTGGCTACGCCCTTGAACCTGACCCATTCCCAGTTCATAAATGACATCCTTACTTAAAACCCTTAAAAAATAAGAAAAAACCCTTACAGGGAATGCATTTCAACAAAATTAATTTGAGAAAAACAAATTGTTTGTCTATAATGTTTTGCCAAACCATCAATTGAAGACCAACGCCTAATTCTTGTAATATCAGTAGAAACTTTTGAAGGCATTTTATTTAGAGCGGAAATTGTGTTTATTAAATGCTCCCAATTTTGCATTATTAAAATATCTGCCTAAAAATATTTTAGTATAAATTTTAGAGATTTCAAAACATAAAAAGTACAAATTCTGATACCGATATTAGGATCCTGTAAGAGTTCAGACATTCGAAACTCTCCCAGTAACCCCTCTAAATGCTAATTATGTGTTGCCACGTGTTTGGGGTTGTCGGCCATGGAGTCTTTGAATATCCGAAAGCAACCCGAAAATTCTCAGTTCTTCGGGTGGGTCCGAACGGACAACCCTACTCCTATCAACCCCCTTTTTATCTAAAAACCCTCCCCCATTACCAGAAATCCAAAAAATTTAAAAATTAAAAAGAAAACCAAACCCTTTCAATTATCACAATTTCAATCGACGCCAAAAAATCACTTGAACCAGCATCTTTTTTATTTGAATCTCCTTCCTTACTTTCTTCCTCATTTTCACCAATTATCATTTTAATTCCCAAAGGGGAACACAACAGAATATCTGACTACAAAAATTTTTTTTGAATTAAAAAAAAATTTAAATAAAACCTCCTCAAAATTTGTGTATAATTTTAAACATTTTTTAGCCAATCCAATACCTAATCGAAAACAATCGTCTACATTTCCTGACATTAATTCCTAAAATTAGAATAATTTTTTATTAGGCAAAATCAACAAAATAATTTTTAAGTCCGCAAAAAAATTTTTTTGTCCGCAAATTTTTTGCGGACAAAATTTGTTTTAAAAATTTAAATAAGTCAAACCTCACTTTAAGATAGTCACACGGATTCAAAAGACCTTCCCTTTATAAACAAGCTAATTAGGGATTTTTGGTTAAGTGGGTTAATTTTATTTTTGAGGTCGAAGGTTCGACTCCTTTCCCGGTAAAACTTTTTAATTCGAACTTTTAAATAAAAAAACCTTAAAATCATCCGAAACTTGTCGTTTCTCGTTAATTTTATTTCCCTCTTCATTTCCATATTCTTCGTCAAATTTTGCCCAGTTTTGAAGGAAAGGTTTTTCTTCTGGCGTAAACAACAAATCTTTCATTGTAGAAACTATTTTGTGAGCAAATTTTCGAAAAGGGCACAAAATGAGAATTTTGGGTCGCGACAAGCCTTGGTCACGACATTTTTCAATTAAAGAGTCGGTTAGTTCAAGACCCTAAATAAAAAATTTTTTGGTTAAGTGGATTAATTTTTCATTTTAAGGCCCCGGTTCGAACCCCTTGCGGGTAAATCTTTTTATTTTGTACACCTAAACAATTTAAACAGTTTTAGGGACATTTTTAACCCTTAGTTTACCCAGAAAAAATTTTTCCGACCCAAAAACACCCAAAAACACCTCAAAAACACCAAAAAATAACTCAAAAAACACCATAAAATACCTCATCCTTTGCTTTCTGTAATCTTTGTTTATTTCCAATAATTAAATTTCTGGTTCTCATTAAATGATTTAAAGAATGCAGACAAATTAGCTCCTAAAAATGATTTATTTTCCCATTTACTAAAATTAAAAAAACCGTGCAGTCTTCTCTAGTAGAGCAGCAAACATCCAAATAACGCCCCATAAAATTTGTAAACAAATTTTCTTGGAAATTTTGTTCTTTTTCTTTACTAACTAGCTTGTTTTTGTAGAGACGCAAAAGACGTTTTAATGTGATTATATCATCCGTTTTTAATTGTTTTGTTAAATTCTGAAAAAAATTTTTTTGGTTAAGTGGGTTAATTTCGTGTTTGAGGGTCGCCGGTTCGAAAGCTTTGTGGGTAAAATTTTTTAATGGGCCAAATTTTTGATTTTAAAATAAAGTGGAAATACAGGGGAAAGAAATTCTGAAAAAAATTTTTTTGGTTAAGTGGGTTAATTTTGCAATTGAGGGTCGACGGTTCGAACCCTTTGCGGGTAAAAATTTTTTATTTGAACGTTTAATAACCTAAATGATTTTTAGGCTATTTTAGAACCTCTATAGACCCTAAAGACCCAAAACCTAGTTATAAATTTAAAAAAACCAACAGAAGTTGAATGTCCCCAAGTAGAAATTGAAGCAGAATGTTCTTCAAAAAGGTTATCAAAATCTTCTTTTTGAGCATATGCATGGCCAGCAAGTAAACGTTTAAGTAAGGGTGAATTGTTTTCATCATCCAATTGTTCCTTGCAAAAATGGGCACTAAAATTTTATTTATTACAAAAACATAAAATTTAAGGAAAAGTCCGCAGAGTTGCGGACAAACTTTTTTAACAAAAAAAGTCCGCAAATAATTTGCGGACAAAATTTAGTAAGTCTGCAAGACTCACAGATAAATTTTGAGCAGAAAAAGGCACATATTTACTTGCGGACAAGTTTCGGAGACATAAAAATCCGCAAATATTTTGCGGACAAAGTTTGCGGACAAAAAATTTAAAAAACCTGAAAAAATCCGAATTTATTTCTTTTTCCCTTTCTTTTAAATTTGAAGTCCCAGTCATCCCATTTTGATCAATTTTTTGCTGTGATGCTTCCTTTTTAGTTCTTTTTTTATTTTCAGGTTCTTTAGTTTCTAGAGGCCTTTTTCTTTTAAAAATTTTAATTTTCATTTTTTTCTAAAATTAAAAAAATTTCTTTAATAAAGTAAATAAAAAAGTGGAAAATTAACAGGAAACTCAATTAAAAATTAGAAAAAAAAATATAAAATTTTATACAAAAAAAATTCTCAAAAAAATTTGAAGGGTAAGGGGACGTTTCAGTATAGCCATATCAGTCTTGAGGCATATTTAGGGCCATAACTTTTTTGATACTTAACCGATTTAAATAATTTTCATACCATTCAAAAGCTCTCGAGATTCTGCATCTTTTTGATAATAGGACCGATCTGATCCGATCATTCTACAAAAAGTTAGAGCCTAATAAACACCAAAAATCACGATTTCGCGCACTTATCCAGCTATAACTTTTTGTAGAGTGATCTGATCAAATTAGTCCTGCTAGATAAAATAATCCTCGAATCGAGAGCTTTCGAATGGTATAATGATTATTCAAATCGGTCAAATATCAAAAAAGTTATGACACAAAATAATGGCTATACTGGAACGTCCCCTAGACTCAAATGACCTAAAAATCTATTAGAGTCCTCATTATAATTTCTAAGAAATTCAAAAAGCTTTAGAATAGTTTAAAAAATTTTTCTCAAGTTAATATTCCTTTCTCATAAAGTTCGGCACAGTCGGGGTAAGAAGCTTGAGCACCGTGTCTTTGTACAGAAATAGCAGCTATCTTAAAAAATTTTTTTAGAAAATTTCCCTAAATTAACATTATGCCAAAAAATTAATTTCCTTGGCATTCTGACATTAAAAATTTTTCAAATTTACCTCAACAGCTTTCTGTACAGCTTGATTTACTTTTGAATAAATATCCTTTTGTTTAGTATTAAACCCTGATTCCAAGAGAAAGTGTGCTAGAGAACCGCAAAAACAGTCTCCGGCTCCCTGAAATTTTTTTGAAATTTTTTAAAAGTTTATAAAAGTAAATTTCAGCCCCCAAAAATTCTCAAATGACATAAAAATCAATTTCCTCCTAAGAGGACTCGAACCCACGACCCCCCTTACCCAAGTCTAACACACTAACCACTACACCAAACCTTCATTAATTAAATAAAGCTAGATTACGGTAGTATCCACTGCAGAAACTTTGGGGGCTTTAATCCAACACCAATGGGGCTGTTCTGAAATTTCGTACCTTTGGGCTACTAAAGCACCTAAAAATTTTTTATTTAAAAATTTAATTTTCAAAATTTTAACCTCTAGGTCCCAACGTGATAATTACAATTTTTGGGCCTTTTTCTAATATTATACGAGCACATTCTTGAGCATCTTCGTCACTTAACATTTGGCGATTTGCGAGAAATTCTGCCTTTAAAGTTTTTGAAAAATTGAAAATTTTTTCCAAAAAATTTTCTAAAATAATTTTCCCCCAAGCGGACTCGAACCCACGACCCTTTTTTACTCGAGTCAAACACACTAACCACTACACCAAACCTTCACATTTTTTAAAAAATTTAAATTTTTTTTTAATTTTTTGAGAATATTCCTAAACCTCATTCTCATTTGCACATATTACATCACAAAATCTCAACAATTCTGGATTCATATCAGCATTTCCAGGTGCTGGGTTGTAAAATGTGGTGACTATAAAGATTAATTTTTTAAGATTTTTTTGAATTTTAAAATTTTCTAAAAATTAAAAAAAAAATTTTTATAATTAAATTTACACCCCAAAACTTTCTAAATGACATAAAAAATCAATTTCCCCCCAAGCGGACTCGAACCAGCGACCTCTTCTTACCGAGTCTAACACACTACCACTACACCAAATTTTAGTTTTTTAATTTCTGAAAAAATTCGTAACACAAAAAGATTTTTAATTTCAATAAAAAATTAATTCCCCCAAGCGGACTCGAACCCACGACCCATTTTACCTACCAATCCTAACACACTAACCACTACACCAAAACATCAAGTTTTTAAATTTTATTATTAAAAAATCTCCATTCACCCCCATTCTCTCTGGCAAGTCTAAGCGCCTCATAATTTCCATCTTCATCAATTTCTTGTTGGCATAAAATCATTTTAGCATTACAAATAACTGATTTGTAGTTTCTAGCATTTTTGGCTCCCAAACATTTGTTTGCTCCGAGATTCACAATTATTGAATTTTCTCCTTGAAAAAATTTTTTTGAAAATTTTTAAAATTTTTTAGAGTTAAATTTCACAACCAAACGTTTTAAAATCACAAAAAAATTAATTTTACCCGGAGCGGATTCGAACCCACGACCCATCGCTACCGGAGTCTAACACACTAACCAATACACCAAAAAACTAAAATTTTTTTGAAATTTTCAAAAAATTTTTTAAAATTTAATTTCACATCCCGAACGTTTAAAATCACATAAAAATTAATTTTACCCGGAGCGGATTCGAACCCACGACCCTTCTCTACCAGAGTCTAACTCACTAACCACTACACCAAAAAAATTTTTTCAAAAAATTTTCAAAATTTTTTTAAATTAAATTTCGCAACAAAAAGGACTAGAATTACAAAAAAATTAATTTTACCCGGAGCGGACTCGAACCCACGACCCCCCTATACCCAAGTCTAACACAATAACCACTACACCAAAAAATTTTTTCAGAAAATTTTTTTCAAAAAAATTTCAAAATTTTTTTCTAACCATCAGACGTAACAGTTATGCAGGCAACACCAGTATTCGAATCTTTTAATTTTTCTATCATTGATGTATCCACTCCATTTTGTGATATAGAGGAGATATTCGTCTCTGCAAAAATATCATCTCCCACACATCCAATCATTGCTGTCCTTGTTCCCAGTTTCGATGCCATCACAGCCTGATTCGCACCCTTCCCTCCACAAAAATTTTTAAATAAATTTCCGCGGACGGATTCTCCTGGTTTTGGCGTTCTATCAACGTAGGAGACCTGAGAAAATTTGAAAATTTTTTAAAAAATTTTCAAAAATTTTTTTCCAAAAATTTTTCAAAAAATTTTCAAAAATTTTTCAAGAAAAAATTTTCAATTTATTAAAATTAAATTTCACCGCCCAAAAGGTTTAAAATCACATAAAAATGAATTTTATCCGGAGCGGATTCGAACCCACGACCCATCTCTACCCGAGTCTAACCCACTAACCACTACACCAAAAAATTAAGAAGAAATTTTTTCGAAAATTAAAAAAAAACAATTTTTTTAATTTCAAAAAATTTTCAAAAAATTTTTTTCTGTCCTACCAAATCTTGTACAATACTCCCAAAAACAATTAATTCAAAATTTTTATTGTTGTGCCCATTAATTTGCAAGTATTTTTGATTTTCATAAATTTGGTTGTTTTGATTAGTAAATCCATTGATTGTATTTAATAATATTGTGTTTACATTTCCCATAATTTTTTTGAATTTTTAAATTAAAAATTCTCTTAAAATCAGATTAGAGATATATGAAGGGGGAAAATATTTTTCAATTTTAAGGGTAAAGGGTAGGTCCATTTCCGTCTTTATAACTCTTCAACGGACAGGCCGATAAAAACTATTTTAGTACCATTCGATAGAAAATAAAATTTGTTACAAAATGAGACTAAAACAAAAATTTTAGGCCGAGTCTCAAAAAAGTTATAGTCAAAAAACTGACACTAACTCTTGTAAAGAGTTAAGGGTAGGTTCAGTTCAGACTTTATAACTCTTCAAAGAACTGACCGCCGAAAACTATTTTGGTATCATTCAATAGAGAATTAAATTTTGTACAAGATAAGACTAAAACAAAAATTTTGGGTTGAGTTCCTAAAAAGTTATAGGCAAAAAACTGACAATAACTCTTCTAGAGAGTTAAGGGTAGGTTCAGTTCAGGCTATATACCGTATTTCCTGAAATAGTACTCCCCCCTAAATTAGCACTCCCCCCTTAAATAGTACTCCCCTTTGGAGGAGGGTTGAAAAATAGTACTCCCCCCTGAATTAGTACTCCCCCTAAAATAGTACTCCCCCCAAAAATATTTTTCCCCTATATTTGAAAAAATAATAAGAGACGTTGAATTATTTTATTTATTCTAAGTAGCGTTGTCGGTTTCACTTGATTCTTTGATAAACAAAACCTGAGAGCTTTCGTTTAACCGAAAACGAACCTAAATTTTAACCTAAAATTCTTCGAGGATTAAAGAGATATAATCCGATTAATTGGTGGGGTAAAAGTGGATTTTGGGTATATAAATGGATTTATATCGGATGATGAAATGTGTTCTGTATTAATCAAGTGGGATTTAAAAGAGATCATTGGATTAAGGTTTGATATAGGAATTTGAGGGAATAATGAAGGGGAGTCATATTAGGCGATTTTGGTTGATTAAGAGTGATCAAACGATAAGTTGAATCATAAATCCTTCTTAATCAACCGATATCGGAAGTACAGAAGGATGTGGAGGATATCGGTGATTAATGCTGATAAATCACTAGACAAAGATTAGGTAATCCATAGACACATGAGATTAGTTGACCCCTGATAAATCTTAGACACAAAGATATATCCACTTTCCCAAAAATTAAATGATAATTATTTTATTACCATCAAACGCCACGATAGCAACGATACCAACTTTATCCCACTGATAATTTTTTCGACATCTATCTATAGATGTCGCTTAAAATCCCTTATATCCCTCGATATCACTCCAAATCCACTTATATCCTTCTTGATTTCCCTTAATAACCCGTATTTTAAGTCATTTGTGTCTAATTGTCTCGCAATTTGCTCAATTTTATACTAATTCGGATATTTTTTAGAATTTTATTAATTTTTTAGAATTTTTCAAATAGCGAACTCTAATCGAATTTATTTAGAGATAAATTGAAATAAATTAAAATATTTTTGTTAATTTTGAAATAAATTTTCCTATGAAAAATCATGGAGGATGGTTGAAAAATAGTACTCCCCCCTGAATTAGCACTCCCCCCTTAAATAGTACTCCCCTTTGGAGGAGGGTTGAAAAATAGTACTCCCGGGAGCACTATTTTAGGAAATACGGTAACTCCTCGATGG